CTACTGCTACTACTGCTGCTGCTACTTCCACTGCCACTGCTGGTGCTACTTGCTGCTGCTACTGCTGCCTACTACTTCTTCCTCCTCTACTCTGCTACGTACTGCTAATGCTGCATGTTTCGACGACGACGACGACGACCAGCGGTCCTGCCATGTCTTGGCATAGTGCCGTGCGAAACCAAAATGAGTCAACATGTCCTGCCCCGTCTAGCGGGTTTACCTGGCAGCAGGTGCCCAACTTTAGAATGACGTGGTGCAACACGGCCCTTTGCAAGGTATGCGCCAGCTTTGCATCATGGAGTCTGGCCTATGTCTTGCTTCGGGCTGTCGCGGATACCCGGATATGCTCAGCCGAATGTTTCTCCAGGTTGTTTCGTTGGAAACACATCATGCCCAGGGCCAAAGGTTTTCCCTATGAGTTCGGAAAGTTGATGGGTTCGCCCCGACTCAAGCCTCATGCCCCAAACTCTGCCCCACTGAGTATGCGGCCGATACAAAGAGGCTGAGCTCGCGCCAGGCCATTTTGGCAGCCTGATGCGGGGGAACTAACTTTGTGGTAAAATCGATTAGTCGCCAGAGAGTGGCTAGCAGCATCGGTAGTCTTAGTAATAGAAGCTGTTGCTGTGCTGAGAAGATTAGCATGGCCCCTCGCAAGGACGACACGCCATCGGATGCATGGCTTCAGTCACGTGTGGAATGGCGGTGAGGGATGATTTAGGGTTGGGGATGCGCCTTGAGGTTGGGCCCAGGCCTGTAACCTCCTCTAGATGGAGTACGATCACCTTGACGATCTTTCTCATAGTGTCCGAATGCATCTTCAACATAGTCCTCTGAATCAAGCTCCTAGTCGGTACAGCATCGTGACGGCGACTCCTTCTCCATCGAATCCTCATAACCTTCAAGAGAAGCGATAGCAGCGGTAGTTCGTCGTCGTCGTTGCAATCATCGTTGCAGCGGTTATGCTACTGATGCTGCAACTGCTGCTGCTGCTTCTAGCTGCTGTTAGCTGCCGCTAGCTGTCGGTCCAACTTCTACTGCTACAGTAGTGCTGCTACGACTACCGCTTCCGCTACGGCTACCACCGCCACTACCATACCACGACTACTGCTCCTGCTGCGAGTGACCAGTAGTTGCCAGCAGATACTACTAGTTTCTACTACTTTTGAGCCCAGGCTCACATCATGCATCAGCTGGGAATCGGCAAACAAGATGACTACTGCACGTCGGCAAACCAAATCAACCAATCCACCTCTGCTTCTTAAGATGGAGAAGCTGCCAAGAAGAACATTATGCGTCTTCCACGCGTCGCTGCTGCTGCTGTTGCTGCTGCTGCTGCTGCTGCTACTACTACTACTACTGCCACTACTACTTCTTCTTCTGGTACTGCTAGTATTACTAGTACTCTACTACCTGTACTGTACATCTACGACTGTGACTACACCCGCTCCCAAGCAGTAAGCAGTAGTCGTAAGCAAGAGTGGACAGAAACTAGCAACGGTAGTGCCATCAGGAATGTGGTGTAAGAATCCAAGTAGAAGAGGCACCAGGGCCACAAATGGAAATTGCCTTCGTGCAGCCTGAGTATCAGTGGCAGAAGAAACATGGTAATAGTAGTAATAGCAATCTTCAGTACCACTAAGTGACAACAGCACGTGAACAGCAGCAATACTCAGAACCGCCACGAAACTAGCAGCTACGCTAGTCTGGCAGGATGTTGGACAGTGTGCGTGCTTGCCTCCCGCACAGGGCCCGAGAAGTCTCCAACCCAGATCTCTGCAGCAACCTCGCGAACAAAATGTGACGCTTGTCTAGCGCTGCGCAACGTGTGAGGTTACACTAAGTCATCGCGAGAGGGACTGACCGTTCTGGTTCACCTCAGCTTTGGTGTAGACATGTACAACAACCAGCTTCTGGCGGTGCTGCCGGGCTGGGGCCTGAACATCGCAGGTGTTCCCATGACTCTATCAAGTCGAAAGTGCAGCATTAGCAAGTGTCCGAACCAGCACCATAGCGGTGCAGTCCAAACTCAAAACTGCCTTGACAAGTCTTAAGCTTGACTCTCCCAGCAAGGCCCCTACCGGTGGAATGGCCGCAAGGTTCTCTTGCAGCTTTTTCCTGAGTCTCAGTCTAGCCGGCTTTGACTTCCCCCGACCAGTCATTAACAGCAGAGACTTTGTGCATGTAAGCTTTTCACCTGCGAACCGATCGGCGAGTAGGGACCGAGCTTCGTCTTGCTCGTAGTCTCGGCCTTCGGTATGCGGAAGCATCGGCTACCACCACCAGCACCACCACTACCAGCACCGCCACCAGCACCAGTGCCAGCACCACGACCTCCACGACCACCACCATCACCACAACAGCCCCGAGTACAGTCAAAACAAAACCATCACGCCGGGCACAACCACCATGCATGTGGAACCTGTGCACACCATGCCAGACATCATGGAACGAAGCTTGGCTTGCAGCCATGCGAGAAATCTCGTCGACGATGTTCAGAAGCTGGCAGACAGCTCTGGTCTCCCACTACAGAAGAGGCTGTCAGTTCCAATGCCAAGCCTCTGTCAGCATTTGTTGATCCTGAAAGGCAGCATAGCAAACTACCCTGACACTGAAGCAAGCTGCCCCGATTCGATCCTGAGGCACTCGCGTTGCGTTGCCTCTCGAGGCTCCCGTCAATGAGGGCCAGAGACATTGACCTGGTACAGCCGAATAAGTGAAAGACAGGATGTCTAGCGATGCAGGGCAAGCGAGCTCCTTCTACTGCACACGATGCTGACAGCTGTCGTGGCAGCCTGCTACTTCTTTGACTTCTTTTGCATGCTTCGGCGAGCTATCGGTATATTCGTCCTACCAGTTCGTCGGATCGGGAATTCACATGCAACGCAGCGACTGACATGACTACATTGACTATTCGTACAAGAGCTGGCTCGCTCCAGCTCCTGCAAGAGCTGGGACCAGGACTTCAATCGTACGGCGAAATGCCGTGAACATGAATGTCCATTACCGCACACATCGCACGGGCAAAATAGATGAAAATGGAAACCAAGTAAATGAAGAAGCCCGCCATCTGCCACCGCCGCTGGCGGCCATAGACCTCTGGCTTGAAGACATCTTTCCTTGCTTGTCTGGTTGCTGGACATGGCTGAGGGTTGGAACAAAGGAAAAACAGGTAGTAGTCTCAAAGAAGCCAAAGTTTCTCGTCTATCTGGTTGCCCCCGGATACGCCTCGTAAGACTTTGACCACTGCCCATAAGAGCTGAATAGGCGACAGCCACCAGTTTGCCACGAATGGCAGGACTGAGAACGCATTTAACGCGATGAATGCCAGCTCGATTCTGTGCGCTTGGTTGTAGACTTTGAAGAAGTCCACAGAGTTGATAAGATCCTCGCGATCACAAGACAGCAACAAGAAACGATGCAGGAAGGGGTTCATTTGCCGTTGATCCCCCGTCTTGACTGAGGGCGCGTCGTATTCTAAGTCTGCGATGGCTTTCAAGGAGTACGCGCTGGATCCCAGAAGGCCAGTCATCGCGAACAGAAGCGTCATGGAATCGATGGTCGCGAAGACGGTGAAGAACACCATGGCTGCGCAAAGTCTCGATGATGCTCACCCTCGAGAACTTGGACAAAGCTACCCCCTCGATCTTAACTGGAGCAAAACAATGAACAGCCCTGCAGACTCGAGTTAACTCTCAATGGCCACCCGTTTAACTGCGACTGGGCCTTAGATAGCTGAGCTTCCGACATTGGAAGGATGCAGATGGCATTTTTCTGCCTGGGGCAACTGAAAACCCTTGTGATACAGCATGCTTGCTGCAGACAGCCCATCTGTAGCATTGACTGCCCACGTTGCACATGATGTGCCATCATCATCGGAACATGCCTGGCAGAGAGTCCTCCTCGTCCATCCGACAGCTCTGTGATCGATTTGCCTTCACCAGCATGAACCAGCAACAGGTCTTCAGTCAAGACTCAACACACATCTGTCACGCAGCAGACTGTAACGCAGAGTGTGATCAATTGGACCGACAAAGCAAAGAGTGCCACGTGAAGATTCTGAACTCGGGTCACTAGATCATAACGCCTGCATACACCGGCATGACTTGCACTCAAGTTCATGAAGAACGAAAGTTGCCCGTTCACTTGTGGATGCGATGCTGCTACTGAGCCTGGTGATCACAAGAATGGTACAAGTGAAAAGTATCACTGCAGCCGTAAGTCCAGGACAGCTCTCGACTGCCCGATTACGCAGTGCCACCTCGCTCTCCTGCACAAACATGAGGAATCTCCTGACTCCTTACCGAGGTTGAAACTGTGGATGCCGGAAATCCCCAACAACATGCCGACTCCTTACGTCACACAACACCCGCATGACTCCAAACCCCGCATTGATTCACAGAACACGTCGACATACGGGGCCTGCGTTTTCGAACACTTATGTACTCTTTGTCATAAAGATTATCCTACTAAATACAAATTGGATGAACACAAAAAACCCTGGGTTGGAATCCTCAGAAAGTCTACCATCAGTCTCATTGCAAAGGAACCGAGGTGTCCAGCCGCGCGGAACTAAACCCGGAGGCCCAGAGGTCTCCGGGCCTGGAGGCTTGTATCCTGGAGCCCGGGGGTGAGGGGAGGGCATGAGGGGGGGGGAAGGGGGAGGGCGGGCAAAAAACAACAGGAAGAAAAACATGGCTGGTGATTTTTTCTGTTTTTCTCCCCCCCCCCCCCCCCCCNNCCCCCCCCCCCCCCCACCCCCCGGGCCTCCCTACCAACCTCCAGGCCGCCTTGAGCCTGCAAGGCCCTGGCCCGAGGCGGGAATTGGCTTTTTGATGGTTCGAACTCTCCGATAGCTTCTTCCCTTTGTTGAAAATTGCCCCGCTCTGCACCTCAGCACCGCGAAACTGAGGCCTGAAGTTCCTGAAAAGCCTACAGCAGCAAAGTTGCTCAGCTTGATCTACAAATGCCGGCATTCATTCCGCAAGGGGCATAAGAGAACGCCTTCGAACCACCTGCCCTCGGCAATGCTGGGAAATATCTCCAGACTGTCCTTCAGCTCCACCAGGAGGTGAAGGCAACCTAACACATCCAAGTTTGCTGCTACAAGTCTACGATCTCGGGAAGACTTTCTCATAATGTGGAGATCAGACAAGACTAAGGACAGTTTACCACTCCTTCAGGCTCCTATAGTATAGCCGCTAGTATAGCTTGGAGCCAAAAAAACCTGAGAAAGCATCCGGCAATCGTTGGGCATAGGGCTACCCGAGTCTGGAAAATCTCCAGCAAGCATGAAAACACACGGGCCTGACTCTCTCTGCCGTGCTATCTCCAAGGGCTTCTCTTGGCAAGGAGATGAAAGCATAGGCCCATGGACTGCAAGTGCCAGCCTGATTGAGACTTCTTCCTTTTCTTGGCTGTCGGCGAAGACAGCACCTGTCAGGTGGAGGAAACCATTGACCAGATACTGGTACCAGGAAATGCCTCTCTCCCAGCCCGTTAACCGCTTCAGAACGATTATAAGTTCCGACTCCGGTCCCAACACCAACCATCTTCTTAGGAGGTGACGGAAGTTTATATAAGAAGGTCACCCAGCAAACCAGGGCGCAGTCTGTAATGCCTGAACCCCAAAACTCGAGTACACATGGATCTTGGATTTGGGTTGCAAGTATTCAGTGAAAGGCTCTGCTGTCAAGCCTTGCTCATACGCAAACTCTGAACCTCACGCCTAGGGACAATGCTTCGCAGGCTTTGGTTGTGGCTCAGGCTACTTGTCCGAAGCCTCGACACTACAAGAAGCTGGACCTGCACCCCAAACCCTCAGCATTGGGGATCCGCGCTGTCGGAGCCTGCGAGAGGATGTGGTCCCACCTGAGTCTGCTCGACGTTCCACATCATTCAAGTAGCGGCAGGTCCGTAGCGAAGCGAAACCGACCAGGCTGCACCGGGCGAAAAGAAGCTCAGCATTGTGCCGACCAAACCGATGTAGTGTTCAATCAATACCTCTTCCATCCTCTTCCGTCAGAGTTGCAAAAGTGTATGTTTTACTCAGGAAGTCGCTGCATTAAACAGCGAGCACTAAGCGGCAGTGGTGCTGAAAAGCATCGGCTGCCTTGCGGTTGCCGTGCGATACTTTTCCCATACGCCCACGAAAGTGCTTTTTTCGTTATTTCAGGAGCACGGCCAGCTCCTCAAAAAGCTGCGTCTGCGCTTTCTTGTCCACCATGTGTCCAACAGCGTGGGACCCCTCCGACTGCACCTGGACGAGTTGACCAAAGAAGGTGTTCAGATCACCGGGACAACCTGACTTATCGTAGATACGTTACAGAAACCCTTGAAAGATCAGCTTTGACTTGACATGACCCCAGACTCAAGCCTGAGTTCAACACCTTTTTGTTACTCAACTCACGTCCAGCCAGACCCCACGACACGACCTGAAATCATCTTGGCTGAGGCTAACACGCAAGCAAGCCCTAAGCAAGCCTTAAATATTGAGCCCTTGGCACGTACTCATGACTATCGTATATAGATCGTATGATAATAGCACAGTAGGGTTTACTAACAGTATACTATACCCATAACAAAAGTATGTGCAATATTATTCTGTGCAACTGTAGTACTACTATAGTAGTGGATGACAGTGTGTTGCAGTACTGCGCCGAGTTGCGGTGGTCACACGAAGGCCTCCCTGTGCACAGCGCTGGGCCAAAGCCTGGCCCTCGTCATGGAGGCAATCGTAGATTCCGAGGAGCACCAGCACCTCAATATACATTCATGTAGTACGCATTTACTATTCGTACACGAATCACATACTGTCATACACAAACATAGTGTAACATGCTTCTGATACTACCACTACGAAATATCGTAATAGTTAACAACTAGTTATGTCCGGTAATATCAGTTTACCTCGCTCGCTATGTGCTCTATATATTACTCTACATGTTCTATTCTGGCGGGCCTTGCGTCTACTGAGTGGCATCCAGCTGGCTGTGAGCAGGTTCGCTTCTTCCAGGCGCCGGGCAGTAACCTGACAGCGTGCGAGAAACGCAAACACGTGCGTGCACCACCTACGCTCTCACAATTGGGCTCAGCCAGATGAAGTTCTTGCTTCGTTTTGGTGGGACAATATGCCCTCATTGGTCTTCTAAAGCAAACCCAGCAACTCTTTCGAGACATCTCGCAGACAAGGTGATGTTTCAAGAAGAAGCTTTGCTCAAGCTGCGTCGCAACCACTTTGATGGTCACCATGCTTTTCCTAAGCTTTGCATAGATCTTGTTAGAGATTGTAGCTCTGCAACGGTTTGGGCTGAAATTACCCTCAAACCCAAGCACCCACCAACCGCAACTGGAAGCCCGGGGCCTGACCCTCCTCGGCCAGCAGCCAGTCCCAGCTCAGCCGCAGGTACCTACAGGGCCCCTTCCTGCACCAGACACGCCACGCAATTTTGCACCCCACAACAACGACTCCCACCAACACAATTAAGGTCATCCTTGTTCTCGTGCTGGTCCCAGCTCTAGCCCTAGCCTTAGTCCTCGTCCTGCTCCTCTTCCTCCTACTGCTGTTGCTACTGCTGCTACTACTCCTCCTCCTACTACTACTGCTACTACTACTGCTACCACCACCACCACCACCACCACCAGCACCACCACGACTACTACTACTACTACTACTACTACTAATACCACCACCACCACGAAGACGACTACTGCTGCTGCTACTGCTACCCCTACTGCTACGAGCCAGTACTACTACGAAGACGACGAGCATTACTACTACTACGACAACAACAACAACAACTACAACTACAACTACAACTACAACTACAACTACTACTACTACTACTACTACCACTACTACGACAACTGCTGGGCGACGACACTGAATACTATAACTGCTGGCACGAGCCCCGCGCAGCCTGGAGGGGCAGGCTGGAAGACCCCCGAAGAGAGCGTGGGACCTGCTTCGCATCTCCGGGTCAACCATGGGATACCTGGCAAGAAGTTGGATCAAATTCCTGCCAAGCTAAACTGGTACAGTTTTGAAGCTTTGCCTGTGACAACGCTCAAGTCTGTACAAGGTGCAAAAATGCCAGGGGCGGCTTGTAGCCAGTGTCCAGTCGCAGGGCCGCATGTGCTGCAACAAGAGCCCCAGCAGATACGCCCATGATGCTCATGCGATTCACGTCGTAGCCGAACTCTTGGGACAGGTCTGCGTCGGCCAAGGACACATAGGCAGATGTAAAGTCATCAATGCAAGCGGGGAATTTGCTCTCTGGCGCCAATCTGTATTCTACAGAGGCCCAGCAGAAGGGTCCGATCTTGGCCTTAGGCAGGCACGTGCACAGAGGGAACACACTTCATACTTCACATCCTCTGTGCGACCGTTGCTTCGCAATCGTCTTGAGGCTAAAGAGCCCATGGAACCAAGATAGCACCGCCAAGTCACTGTGAGAGCCTTGAAGAATTGGCTGCCCCAGGAATCGTGCCGGTCTCCCAACGTCATGCATCCTGGCGTGTACACCCAAAGACCCAAAGCTGTTTGATTTGGTATTGCAACCTGAGTTGCTAAAGTGTCCATGCGCGACGTGATTTAACATTTCAACATGCACCCTCCTCCGTGCGCCCAAACGATCAGAGGCAAATCTTGTCTAGCCCCGCGTTCCAGAGGTTCGTGGACAGCAACTTGTATCGGGCCCCCCTGCCCATGACGACGAGGCAGTTCTCGTTCCTCGACTTTCCATGTTCCCTTCACATTCTTTTCGTAAGACTTGCTCATCTTCTCGTGCGCTTTGCGGCAGTCTGATAGAAGCTTCAGCCGCACATCCTCTGTGCTGCCGGCGACTGCTTTCTCCAGTGGTAAGAAGCAGCCCAGCAATAGATTCACAATCTTGTCAACAGGATGCCTCCACCCATGTGGAAAAACAGCATCAAGATCGCTTGAACTGCACAACCTAACGAGCAAAACAACTAAACAATCGGAAAGAGTACGAACATCCGCGACTCCACTTAGAACCATGTGTCAACAGGTTGCAGCTTGGCGTGCGCATGGCAGCAGCTTTGCGTCACCACATTGCCCATGGCTGGAGTTGCGAAGTCTACGGACACGTGCAAGCTTCTGGTGACAGGTAGTGCAGTGCTTGCAAGCCAGACCGTGCAGAAATTCAATTTCAGCCTTAGCAGATGAGCTTGGGGTCGGAGATGGCTGCGCCAGGTAAGAGTCAGTTCTAGAATCAAACGAAAACGCACAGAAACAGTGCCTCCCCCTTCGATTTTTACGAGGCAGTGGTCCCTCTGTAACACGCGCTCGACGTGATGGGAACGGTGTTGCTCTGGCTATGGTGTGCTATGGTACATGGCCGGAGGGAGCAAATGGCGCCGCAGCCACACTTCTGTGGAACTGTCACTGCGGTGCTGGCTCTTTGTCCGCCTGGATCTTCACCCGGCGCAGTCTGCCCACCAAGCTCATGTCTCGTGGCATCAGGGTGACGCGCTTGTTGTGAACGGCGCACAGGTTGCCATCCTCTCAGCAGTCAATCAGGGTTAGAACTTCATCTTTCACTGGTGTTGCTGGTGCTGTTGTCACTGTGGTGTTGGAGCTGCTGTTTGTGACCATGCTTGTGTTGTCGTTCTTCTCACGTTGATTCTTGTCACTCCCATCCTGCAGCCTAGGACTTGCAAGCCACTAAACCCTTACAATCATGATTTTCAATGCTTGCCTGACCTCTCCTGCATGGGCACCCTTGGACAAGCCCAAATCACACTACATGGATGTATGTTCGTAGCTCCGGTTCTTGCTTCTCCTCAAGGATGCCGACCAAGTACATCTCAGCAGCCTCACTCAGGTGCAGGATGTTGTGCGATGCTTTCCCGTGCTCCGACCCATTAGCTTCCCTGTTCCCTGTTCGCAATAGCCGAGCCAGCCCGTCACAACACATCACCCATCGCTCACCGTTTCAGATCGTGACGGCGCTTTGCCCCGTCACAGCTGAAGGGTCTGCTCTGACAACCGAAATTTTGTCTGCCATGTGTCTCCAACTTGCCATGGAAGGAAACCGTCCCATGTTGCCAGAAACCCCAACGATGCCGGTGACTGCAAGGCTGCGCCTCATGAAGTGCCAGAAGTGCATTTGTCTCCATGCGGACGGCGAAGCGATTCCTGCCAAGGACATTTCAAGCGATTGCAACTGCTTGACGAACCATCGGCATGAATCCTGAAATCGAATCGACGTAAACTAAGTTCCACATCACGTTGAAGCATGGATTGAGTCCCCCGCCGGGATAAAACAGGAGGCTAAAGCAAACCGTGGGAGTAGTTGGGTTCAGATGGGATTTCGATGTCACAAGCAGTATTTGTCCGTGTTGCTATGTGTTGCTATGCGAAGCACTTCCGCACGAGCTCCTTCCCAAGTCGGGATCCTCGGGAAGGTTTGTATGCAACCTCGGCCGGCCCGGCAGTTGCCACTCCAACATGCCAACACCTGTCGACTGCAAACCGAAAACCACAGGTGAGCTTCTTAAGTCCGCGGTGCTCTCCTTTGTAGCTGCTTGTCCCTCTCTCCTCCTCTTTGGCTTCCATCTCCTTCAAGATGTCCTTGACAAGAAGCTGGAAGGACCTGGCTTGGGATTCAGAGCTCTTGAGACAGGCGCTGCTTTGGCGCCCAGTTTCTTGACTTGCGTTCGAAACACAAAACAAAGCCTATCTACGAATAATGGTTCTCAAGCCACGTCGCTGACGAATGTTTGAAGAAACTGGCTTAACTGTGTGTGAAACGGAACATCACCAAGCCAACCTCTAAAGTCAGCCGTTTCCGTGCCCAAATGGCCAAACCTGCTTGAATTTACAATGATTTGCGCTTTCCGGTAAACGCGCCGCGCAGTAGTGGTGTTTGGGGAATGTCTGTGTCCTGGGTTCAGGCTTATGTGCAGGCAAGTGGCAGCTTTGGAATCAGCAAGTGCGTGCTGTTCTGCATCTCCTGGAAGCGACTATTCGCAGACACGGCTTCTGAAACGTGGGGCCTCGAATGTCTTGAGAGGTTCAAGTCCCAGAATCTGACCTTACGCAGCATCGGTTCTTTCTTCACGCGGCCGGAGAAAGCAAGGCGTTGGACACCTTGATCCAAATGATAGAGGAGGCCGCGACGACGACGCAAGTGTAGGTGTGAGTCGAGCGACTGGTACGTCGGCACGAAAGACCCCACTGCACTTGCAAGAATGAGAGCTGCGCATGGATTGACACAAATTGAAACTAATGAAGCTGAAACAGAAACACTGCTCCAGACGACCTTTCATCCCACGGTCAAGGACCTGTCAAAAGATTCCAAGGGATTCTATCATCTATCCAATACCAGTACAAGCTCGTCCAGGGCTCAGTGGGCACCACCGGTGGGCGCCAGAAGGAAGAGAGTATCATGACTTGACGGTGAGTCAGTCTGACACGTAGGGTCAGTCCTGACTCGATCGGCAGCACGGGGTTCTGACACGTAGGGTCAGAGAACAAGATTGAACAAAGGGCAGCAGGAAGCCTCGAAGTACAGCTTCCCTGACAACCCGGAAACGAAGCCCAGAGCCCAGCACTTACGGGAAAGATTGTCCGAGAAAGCTCGTGGTCTGATGCCCAGCCGGGACCCTGGACTTGCAGGATTCGTGCAGGTGTGCGCAGCTGAAACTTGGAACCGTGCCTAAGCACTTCTCATTGCGTGTTCAAGTGGGCACCTTGCAGAGCGACAGGACTTGCACGCTGGGTCCTTACCAAAACATTGCAAGTTTCCACTTACGGACGTGGATGCCTTGAGGCCCAATCGTGCAGGAGATCTTGTGGTCCGGCTCTCCACTAGAACACACGGGCAGCTGCCCAATCGACACTCAGACCATAGGGTCTGTAAGGCTGGAGATTTCCGTCTACATACCCGAGGGAGGTCGACTTCTTGAAACAGCTGTACACCTACTGTACTCAAACACCGCTGGATTGGTGGATGCCTCCAGGCGCTTTACACGCAGCCGGGGCCACCAATCCAGCGCAGGCATGCTGTCTCCGGCTGCGAGCTCAGCAGCAGGACAGCAACACCGTAAGGCAGGCACAGAGCAGGGATGCCCAACACCAAGATAGCCATTGTCGCACTGGAGCTCCACTCCTTCTTGCGTCTCTGGGCATCAGCCTTCTGCGTTGGAATCAAGGGAATTGCGCAGAGACCGAGCATCGAGGCACCGTACGCGAGGGCGAAGGACCAGGCCACGGTGTTCCGGAAGGTGGGCGTGTCCGCGAGGTAGTTGCGTGGGTCGGACAGGTTTGGCTGGAAGAGCCCGAAGACCTGGTTGCTCACAGCTGTGGAGATGGGCTGACTGGCATGCATCACCGTCCCAATGAGACCGTAGCAAAGGCCTTCACGCCCAGGCTCTGCCACTTCAATGACAATTAAGTTCAAGACCAAGGCGAGAGCCGTAGTGGGCACAGCACCAAGCACGTCCTCCCCCAGGAAGAAGTACTGGTTCCGAACCACACCGAAAATTGCGAGGAAGCTCGGGATGGAGTCGGAGATCGTCACCCCAACCACGGCAAAGAGGATTGCCTTTCGCCAGGAGATTTGGAGGAGGTACTCCTTGTACACCCAAGTTGCCATCATCATGACCAACATGCTGGCCATCATGAACATCTGCTGCTGCAAGACCTTGACCCCTACCCACTGACTGCGGACCATGGGCCCGGCAGTGGTCGAGACGGTGGACAAGAACTGCATGATGAATGCGAACAGAAGCACAGTGGAAAGGCCTTTCTTCTTGACCAGCTTCCAGGAAGATTTCACATGTGCACAGCAGGATGGGCGAAGGACCTTCTTGGGTTCGTAGACACACTGCAGGCTGAGGGGGATCACACAGGTGGCGATCACCAAGCAAACAATCATCAGACTGCGAAATGACAAGCTCCAGTCGAAGGTGCCCAAGTACTCCTTGCCATTCATGAAGACCCCAACGAATGCGGAAGAAGCAAGCGCACCACCCATGGTCACCATTGAGAACTCGGCCTTCATCTTCCCGCGGGTCTCCTCCGGTTCGTGCAGGGAGTACTCCAGCAGAAGGCCCTCACCCGCGACGCAGCCCATCTGGACACCTGCAACGAGAAGGAGCATCGGGAAGAGATACCAATTTTTCTCTGCATGGATTCCGGGATTGCACGGTGGTGACATGATGTCAAAGGTGCCGTCAGGAAGCTGACAGTAGTATGGCTCAGGAAGCGGCCTTACGCTCATCGCCAGGAGCGCAGTTCCACACAGCATCCATGATGCCACGAAGTACGGCTTCCTGTGCTTGCCAAAAATGGGGAGGCAGTCGTTCAGCATGCCGAACGGGAGAAGCAGCACCTGCGGAAGCTTCATGAGGGCATTGATGGACAGCACGACGTAGGAGTCCAAGCCCATGTAGCCCAGAAAAAATCCGTAGCCCACACTGGACGCAACAGAGTTCAGGAAAGCAAGGAAGAAAGCACCGATTGGAAGGCCACAAGTTCGCCATGTCCAAATGCTGGGGCACTCTTCATATGCATCCTCCTCGGTCTTGCAGCCGATCTCCACATCGATAACAGCCGAGGACGCATCTGCCGGAGTAAAGGAGCCATCATCGCTGGAATCGACGGGCAACGTAGTGCTCTGCGAGTCGGGTTCACCTTACTTTTTGATTTTGGAACCGCTTTACTTCCCAGATCAATCCCAAACATTTTCCCGATGTGCAACCCGTGGCAACTTCCCTACAAAGCACTGCAAGTCACTCACTTGGGTTTCCTGCTCTGAGTTTGTGGGCGACTCGGGAGATTCATCGGCGGGCTTCTCGGCGGCGGGCTTCACGCCGATGAACTTCACATTCTTCTCATCGACAGGAGGTGCAGACAGGCACATAGCGTCGAAAAGATTGGTCTGTATATCTCTCCCGAACCGTCCGAGACAAAAACCTTGAGCCACAGCCACGCCGGAATCGTTGACACCTGCATTGTCGTCCGTACAGTACCTGAAACCACATGTCATCATCAGCATCATCATCATCCACATCTTTATTATCATCGTCGCAATCATCATGGAACAACCATGCCCGAAGCAGCTCCTGGATTTCCTGCATCAGCCGCCTCTGCTGCGGTGCTTTGGGGTCTACCTTCGCGTGCCCAGTTCCGGCGCTCAGACAATGCAGCTTGCACCCTCATTGCTCACCTACCTGTGGCTTCTACAGCTTCTCTGACCTGAAAGGACATGTACGAGACTGTACATTTACTGCACGTGGCTGGGAGGACCCTGATCGCGCGAGTGCTAGCGCAAGCGGTAGCGACCTTCTGAGCTCGGAGCCTTGCTCTGGAAGCGCTTTTTGGGCTTCTGACTGCCAGGCCCAGAGCTCTCCTTAAGACAAGCAGAAAGCTGATTCGTGCAAGTCACTGTGGGACGCTTCGATGGCAGAATTTCGAGGAGGTTCTGGTCTCTCCTACTGGGCTGCGGTGCTGAATGAAGTAGCGTCAAAAGAGTGACCAGGCCATCTTCTTGCAGAGGTAGCGGCAACAGCAGCAGCAGCAGCAGCAGCAGCAGGAGGAGGAGCAGGAGCAGGAGCAGGAGCAGGAGCAGGAGCAGGAGCAGGAGCAGGAGCAGGAGCAGTAGCAGGAGCAGTAGCAGTAGC